AGCTTGGGTTCCGCCACACAATCCCCCGTATTGCTAAGCCCCTCGGCGCTGCATTCGCAACCATTCGTACGCTGGTCCACCTCCAAGCTCAACTCAACAGCGTCCTCACCCTGCGCCTCAACGCGCTCATCATTCAACGCCCGCTGCCAGCCGAACGGCGCCGTCTCCCCGTCCTCGGCGTCCCTGCGCGGCAGCTTCAATTACAGACAGCCGTATCTAGGTTGGCGGTCGCAGGAACGTCTCGCACGGCCACGCACACCCGCCGAGAGACTCGCCAGTACCATTCTCGGACAATCCACACCGCCACACGCGCAGCAACCGCAGGAAAGTCCCGAGATTCAGACGTCGATCAAAGAAGTCACCTCGGCGATTGTGCATTACGTAAGCGGGTTGAGGCCGGAGAGTGGGGGTAGGGAGCATAGTTATGATAGTCAAGAGACTGCCAGTCAGAGGTCACGATCAGCGTCGCCAAGGGGTAGTCAGAAATTATGCTGGTTGGAGAGTTCTTTTGTGGGTACAAGACCCTTGGACTCACCACAGACTCCGTTGACCTTGACGGAGAGCCCCACGCAGATGAATCACACGCCGGTACCGCCGACAACCCTGCGGTTGGACCTGCAGACGCATAATGGTGAGTTTGTTCATGCGCAGTGAACACACCATCGGGAATATAATTTAAAAAACAAAAACAAAAAAGAAAGCGATTTACCTACGGTGCTATAGATATTATAAATGATAGATTTATATTTTTACACATTACGACGACAAATTTATAATATAACATTACTAATCAGTCACCTCACATTTTACGCGTGTAAACTATGCAGGTTTTGATCATGCGTCGTCGAATTTTGTATATAAAATTATTAATTTTAATTTGAGAGAGATTTCTTATAGGTATACTACCCAAAAAACATATATTTAAACAACGCATATTTATTCTGTGTCTGTATCGAGTCTGTACATGTACCTATCTTTATATTTTATGTTTATTTCTTTATTCGTTGTTTATAATTAAGTTCAACGTCTGATTGTATTTTGTATAGAGACATATGTAGCGTCTAGCGTAGAGGTTTTATATATTTTTGATTTCATTTATTTTTTAATAGATTTTATGTACAATTTTATTTTTTTTCAAATTCAGAAATCACATTTACCTCATAAAAATGTGGTAAGTTCATTATTTCATTTTGTTTCGCATGTTTTTATTTAATTTTATTAACATTATTAATTACACGTTATGTTTAAATACTAATCTTTAATTAATTGTTATAATAATGGTGTGTGATGGTGTTTTAATGTAAATTTGTTGAATTTATTTGTATATTTTTAAAATTTTGATTTCCTGTAACAGATTCAAACGCTTTGAGCACGGCAGGCAGTCGTAGACCCTCGCCATCATCAACAACACTCGAAGACGTGCTGGATTCGTTACTCGGACTGCCGTCGTCGACGCGCGCCCCCAGTCCCAGTCTCCAAGGTAGGAGACATGTGTAAGTTTCGTTTGCAGGTTCCTAAACCAAAAAACGTAAAACGTAAAGCAGCTGATGCGCAGCCGCCCTAGCGCCGAGTGCCGAACCGAACGGTTGACATACGCAACCTTTCATACACGCGCGCGATGATACCGTTCGGTGTTGTAACAGAGTATCTCTATATGCGTAAGCAAATTACATTCTAATGCAACTCTACTCTTGCAATTCAAATTGCACCACAAACTACTCATTTTATTCTTGCTTCTTGAAAGTTGCATACCAGCAATATAATTAGCAACAATATTCGGCTTAGTAAACGAATCATCGCACTCAGCTATTAATCTTCATCGAATTGACTAATGTAGATTGTGCGCATGTGCTTAAACGTAGATTATACGCTGTAATTATAGCTTTAAACTAAATGTAAGCAACCCAATATACTCGTACATTTAAAGTAAAGTGGGTTGCTTACTTTTTTCAAAAGGTAAATATCACATATTTTGCTTCGTTTTAGTTTAAAATTCAAGTAGAAATTAATTTTTAGTTGATTTAAGGGGTAGATAGTAATATTTTGTGTATTTTAGGGACGGCGTCAGCTAATACTAGTCCCATTCGTCGACAAGGAGAACACCAGCGTGCTGCAGAACAATTTCGCCGTCGTAGTGAAGGCAGCGAGCCTGCAAGCCGCCCTTCTTCGGACAGTCGACGTGCCTCGCTCCACGCATCACCGATTCTCCGCTGTCGTAACTCTCGCTGCGGCCGCTCGGCCTCCCCACGCTCCTCGGAGGCGGCACAGTTTAAAAACTGCCACAACTGCTCGTATACCTATTGTAGTCGCGGGTGTCGTCGTGAACACTGGGAGAAACACCGTAAAACCTGCCTGTTTTCACGTGTGGGCACCCTGTGTAGACAGGTTATTGCCGCCGCCAAGGAACAAGAGGATACTTTACGAACTCTTTCAGCAATCGCACGACGTGGGTATCTATCACAGGGACAAGGCGCTGTGAAAATATTCTTTCCATGTCCAGAGGCTGCTGAGAAATTTCTCGGTAACGGATTGGGTAGCCTTGGTGATCCCACTTATGTCCGATGGGCGGATCTACTCCCCTCTGAAATGGGACCTGCACTCTATGCGGAACTAGTCAAAATGTGCAAGAATTACAATCCTGATTCGCGACTGGTTCTGTATGTTTCGGTGTGTGTGGTTTCGGAAGCGCCTGCAGCCGGTGCGGTGAAATGGGAACGACAGTTGGTCTCACGTTGTGGTAAACTGCGGCTCAGTCGAGATGTCCGTGTGCCTGACAGGGAGGTAGAGAATCCCGAGGCGATTATTCTAACGTCGAAACCGTTAAGAGAAGAACCCATTCAGCGGTTGCGTGAGATTAGTTTCCAGAATATACAGCGCCATCTACAACAGCGTGGGGTTAGTTTAAAACGGCAGTACCCGGATATCTACCAGCAGTTGTCGAGCTACGTGGAAGGTAAAAAGAACAAATTCACGCCTGTGACGGTGTATCCCAAGGACACGAACACTGGTAAACCATTTATGTGTATTATTATGCCGGATGTGGAACCAGAGTGTTTGGAGAAGGTCACCACCGCCGGGGTGCGTGTGCGGACGGTGGACGTGCTCGACGATGAATTCATCCTGGATAATACCTGATTTTAGTTGAATATGTTGGATATTTTTAAGGTGCCAAAGATGACAAATGTATGTGTACAAAGACAAATAACATAGGCAACCAATCATACCACTAACCTCTAAAAAATTACATACGCCTCAAATCTTTCAAATACACAACTTTGGAGTAAATTTTCATTCGCGATTTTCCAACATATCAAATATTTACAACCAAAGAAACATTCCAATCACACGTACCGATGTAGGAATCTACACCTAAGAAACAGCACACGTAACCGTAAAAAATTTAATCTTAACCTTAAAATCTGGGGTTCTCCTGTGATCATCTAAATAAAATTACTAAACGCGTAATAGAGCAGTACATGTAAACGTAACGTAATGAAATTATAAGTATAAATCAAGTGCTGCAACCCAACAAACACTAAATTCGATTTGTGTTTGCATAGTTTTTGTTTAGCTGAACAGAAAAGTAGATATTAATTGTTGAGAATATATTCCGCAGATTTTACCGCAAGATGAATAATCATGTTAACTACTGTACAATTTTTAGGCGTGTGGCGCAATGTGAAATTTAATTTCGATATTTAGAGAGAAAAAAAATGGCGCATACGGATATATCTCGGAAATAGTAAGGTTAAAAGAGGTTATGTACGAAAACATGGATGGGAATACATTGAGATTGGAGCCTGTTAACATTTCTAACCTAAAACAATTGGGAATTGAATTGAATGCTTGATTTGTTATAAATTAATGCTTATTCTATTGATAATCAAAAAGTTGTCAAAACGTAGTGCAAAAAATGGATATTTTATTGAAAGAAACTAACCAAAGAGCTTATAAAAGTTATGATATTCTATTTTTTCGAAGACATCCCATTGCGAGCACACAGTGATTACGTTGCTTGAAATGCCGATGCTGATAAGACTATAAACACATATATTATTCTATATAAATAGTAAAATAAAAACAAAATGGCAGCGATTTACAAAATCGCTTTGAAATTGAAGAACAAAAGACAAATAACAAACAAAAGAGGAATATAAATGCATACACATTGCTCACGCATTGATAATTGAATATGTTAACTATAAATTAATGAATAGAAACGCGCGTTTGACTGAATTCAACTGAATATCTAAAGAAAATGAAAATGTTACACTCATTCTCGACGATAATAACGTGTTTTATATTTTCTAGGCGTAGAAAATGCGATTAATTGTTGATTTAAACTTCAGAACACCACATGTGTATATACTAAAGATACTAAACACTCACACACACACACCAATTGATAATAATTATGTATTGTTTAACAAGTCCCTCGCCCCTTTCACCTGTTAACATATTGTGCAAAGTTTCACCCCCTCTATTTAACTGTCTTTCGACCTTTTTCAACTAATTAGGCGTAAACGGATGCGACGATGCGCGAATGCTAAATGATATTGACTTATGTATATGAAGTATTCAATAATTATGACATTTAAATTAAATAAAACGGAAACACAAGATGGCGATGACATTGAAACAAACATACAACTGATAATAATATAAGTGTGATCAAATGTAATTAAATGAATGCTTGCAAATGCGTTTGGGGAGTGTGAAAACGTTTAAATTATGAGGCGATATAATAAAAGACACAGCAATACTTTGTTTTGTTTTAAATTGTATAATTTTAAAATTGTAACAACGAAGTGTCAAAATATCTTATCATAGGAATCTGTATTTTTACAGTTTTATAGTTGTATAGTTGTAATAGGTTAGTTATATGTGTATAGATGGCGCTAGTGGAGTTTAAAGTTGTGTTGTTGTTCATAGATGGCGTGCATGTTGGCGCGTACAGTGCGCCACCTGCCACGAAAACAACAAAAAAGAACAGCATCTTGGGTAAGTCTAACAAGGTCAACAACACTGATCGCGGTGCACACACGCGAACGCAGCTACCGCGCGCGACTACCGTCCCGTCGGCACACATTCACGCCGCGACTCTCGCCAGTCTCGCGCAATCGACGCAGTTAGCAGTTTTCGAGCGGTGTTGTGTAGTATATTTGTGAATTCGCTTGGGATTGTGCGTGTGCGTGCGAAGTGCGCGCCGTTTACGAGTGCCAGCCCGCCGCCGCCTGCAGGACTGCGGACAGAGACATGGACAGCGCGCCGACGGCCCGACGGCGACGACGCGCCCGGTCGCCGCGCGATAAGATTGTCGCGCGAGCGTGATGTGCGAGGTGCTCTCCGATCATCTTTCTCCGATTCCGAAGGTGAGCGCGCATGTGTGCGTGCGTGTTTTGTTTTTTTCTCCGCGCGGGATGGCAACCCGCACGGTCACACATACAACACACAAACACGCAGACATTACAGTAGCGCCGAATACGCATACCTTTGCATTTTGGGACACGGGCACGTCCGCAAGTCCGCGGACGATCGTTTCCAATGCGTGTTATGCATGTGTGTGTGTATATGCGCGGCTGTCTCTTCGTCGTGTCGTCGAGTTACGAAAGCACAGCGGGCGCAGCGCTGCGCTTCATTAGTTTGTTGATAATCGGAAGGTGAAACTGCGACAACGCTCAATGCACCAGTGCGTGTTATGTGTATCTATGCATGGAAAAGTTTTCCGAAATTTAAACATGGCGGAATAAACAAAACACAATCGACAAAATCAACAACACTTGATAATATCATCCATGTTTTCGCTTGCAGATTGCTGAATTCTGCGATTATTTCGACCGAATGCATCATTCGCAAAGCGCAACAACAACAATGTTGTTGCCAACGTAAGTGCGCGTGTGTGCCCACCAGTTTTATCAAAGACCATGGCGGAGGAGTCGCTGTGCGAGGAGATGTTGCTGGCGGCGGCGACGCACCGCTTCACCGACGCCACCAACGGCGTGCTGAAGCACCCCGAGTGCAACACGCCGAACAACAATCTGTGCGCGAGCGATATTAAAGACTGTCGCGAACTTAGTGCGACGCACCTTCGCGAGGACTCGCAGGACTCTGTCGAGAGTGGTAACACGACAACATCACAAGGTAATTGGTATAAACTTAATCATAAAGCATGTTTTTATTTATTTTTTGCTTGTTTTTGGGTGTTTAGATGAAGAATCGTCCATCAATGAATTTTCATTGCTTTCCGAACCGAGCACCTCGCCGAAAGAGAACAGTAAGAACAGTAAAAGTGCAGCGGCGCGTAATTTTAGTAACGGCGCCGCCGATAAAAACAGTAAAGTGCGTAAAAGGGCAGCCGCCACTGGTCGGGGGCGGCCGCGGAAGGCTCTCGTCGCTATGTACCACAGTCAGATCAGCGGCGACAAGAACACCATCAAGATACGCATCAAGAAGAGTAATTTATCGACGCACACACAGGTTTTACCATTTTTCCTTAACTTTTTAATTTTAAAAATATTTATTGTTTTTAGCTGACGCCAAACAAGAAGAAAAGTGGCCGACGAAAAAAGCACAAGACGTCCGATACGGACACATCTGACCATGAATCAAGCACGACTGCGAAACGCACGAAGAATTCCACAGTTGAATCGTCGCAGGTCGACGCCGCGAGTGAACCGCAGGAGCAAAGCGCCTGGGGTTCAACAACGCCACCTGCTTTACTTCTGTCGATATTTCAATATGTCGTGGGACGTGATGGAGCACTTCCCGGTGTGGTGCGCTTGTCGAAAGTGTGTCGGTTGTGGCGTGATGTCGGTGCAAGTCCGTCGCTCTGGCGGAAGGTCGATTTGAATGCGGTGAAGGAGCGCGCGCGGACAGATTATCGCCTCAGTTGGCTGGTGCTGCACAAGTTGCCGCTCTGCGAGGATCTGAATCTGGGCGAGTGGAAAGTGCGGGATATTCAGGCGACGCTCGAGGAGATCACTCACAATTGTCCGCATCTGCGTGGGTTGAATCTCTCCGGGTGGAAGGGTTTGAATGCTGATAATTTGAAGTATATTACGACGGAGTGTGCGAATCTACAGAGGTTGGACTTGTCGTCTATTAATGTGAGTGTTTGGTTGCCTATCTTGACTATTATTTGATTGTATTTTGATTGTAGTCTACTTCTGCGATTAATGCGCAACCTTTGGTGTCACTCGGACAAACTATGAACACGCGTTTGACGCATTTAGTGTTGGCGCATAATAAAATCGCTGGGTTTACGCAGATTATGGCGTCGATAGCTGTAAGTACATAACCTTTATTCAAATTATTTATTTACAACATAAAAATTAATTTTTTAATGTATTTCTAAGGGTAATTGTGCAAATCTTGAGCTTCTGGACATATCCAACATACGCACGTTTGCGCACAACACAGCATTACTCCACGTGGAGAAACTTCAGATTGGTTGCCCGAAACTGAGAGTGTTAAGATTGACAAATAGTCAAATCTGGTTGGCGCCTGCTAGTCTCACCGATCAGGTCGCGTCGCCTGGGTTCCCTTGCCTTGAAGAATTATCACTGGCAGGAATCGAAGATGACAAAACAACGACAGCGCGTTGCGTTGATGATGACGGTATTGAGCGGATACTGAAAAATTCAACCAAGTTGCGTTTATTGGACGTGCGTGGGTGTATCAGGCTTACCGATTCTGGTTTGGTGAAGGTACCTGCGTGGGATCTCGAACATTTGTTTCTAAGTGGTAAGAAACAACAAAAATATAGTTTTAAAACGTTTTTAAAATGTTTTTCTTGCAGCTTGTTTAATAACACGCGCGCAAAACTCCGGTCTCGAATTAATCCTGCAGAAATGGAGTCATAGTCTGCAGGAAGTTGATCTGGCGTGGTCCACCGCAACGGAATCATTGGATAATGCGGTGATTGCGTTGACAGAAGCTGATAATCCACCATTACGGTAATATAAACTAAAAAAAAGTAAATTATTTTATTTTTTTGTATGTTTTTTATGTTTTACAGGACGATAAACCTATGTGGATCTTCTGTAAGTCTCGAACCAGTGAAGGCAATCCTCAAAAAATGCCCTCACCTGCATTCCATCAACCTGCAGTCGTGCAGAGCGCTGCCACGAGGCATTAAACGCCTGTACACCGGATCGGCGGTCGCTGAACTTCGACAGTCCTTACAGGACAAACCCAAGACAGACGACACCGCAGGCTCGGACAATGACGCCGCCGAAACGACAAGCTAAATCAAAATGGCGCATACCAATAAGACATATATAATAACATAAAAAACAAACAAAAAAGTACCTGCATTGTAAAAATATTTAAATAGTGCATTTACAAATCAAGCTAAACACAATTATTGTACACACAAGCAAAGAAATTTATCGAAAGTTGATTGTTTGCCACACTGCAGGTCAACAAGATGGCGGCTTATAGGACACGGGCGGCTCTTCTCGAATACAAACACGGCACAAATATTAAATTATTATATTGTTGTACATACGAACGCAAAGAACGTAATGGATTGTTTCGTGCGAACAATTACGGTACGGATATTAGATACACATACAAAGAAATCTAATATATAAATATATGAATATATATTATTACAAATATATACATACACAAGTAGATTTTAAGGTTATTATATGATGATAAATTAATTTAGGCGAATCGTAAAGCGCGCGCGAGTTGAGAGACGTTTTTTAATTATTGACACAAACATATAATATATATTCTAATGGTAAATAATTATTCTAATTAAATTTATATTTGCGGAGGGTGTAAATGTTGCGATATGTTATTTCTGTTATTATTCGTTTGTTTTATCGTGTACTTTTAATGATTTGATGTTTTTTTCTTTGCTCGATACAAATTTGCAAACTGTACATAGTTTTATTCGAGGGACACAAACACACCGATGAGAATCAAATTGTTATAGGGAGACATGCGCAGTAGTGTACATAAGTTAGCAATGACCAATTCTGTATGCAGTCATTGTATTTATTGTTCTCTTCACACACACACACACCCAGTACACATGTGTAGACATTTTGCGCAGATGAAAGACAAAAATGGCCTTAACGTGCAAATCGGAGAACATTTACTTGCAGATGCAGACGTTATATCGCACTTGTACAAAAGCGTACACTAAAATTAATTATTGTCACGCTACCAATAACTGCTTCACCCAGAGTAGAGTTGTGATTTTGTCTAGAGCAATCAAAAAAAACTATTTAAAAGCTAAAATGATTAATTAATTGAATGAATACTATTGATAAAGCAATTTGTAAATAAAATATATGTTCTTTTTATATAAAAGACATCATGTTTGTGTTCTGGAAAGTAGTTAAAAACAGTTTTGTAGATATTTTAAAGGAATAGTAATGGCGCTGGTGTATAAATTGTATTGCCAACTGTCTAGTGATTGTTCTTGTTCTGTTGAAGGTTAAATATCACTAGATTCCCCCAGATTCCTGGCTGTCATTCAGGTTGTGAATAAATGGCAGATATAATGGCCGCCAACAGTGGTGGAGTCGAATGGTCGTCCGTGATAAAACCGTTCTTGCGCGTCGACGCATCGCCGACCGGCCGCAGTGATGTGCTAGAAATATGTGCGGTGATCTTGAAAAAGTACGTACCACCAGCATGCAGCTATCAGCCGCTGTAAACGGCGCGTTTTTGTCAGCGGCGAGTGCGTTTTGACACCTTCGTGCGGCATCCGCTGACGAAAAACACGTCTATTTATATTCCGGTGCATTCTGTCGTTGCACTTCCGATTGTTTTCAAAATCGTCGAGTTTTATTAATTCTGTTTCTGTGTGTCGTAGTCAAGCCGAGATCTTGCAGCAGAAGGAAGGCCACCAGGAGTTTTTCAACGCCTTTACCGTCCTATCGGCGAATTTGATTGCGAGTAATGCTACAAACGGTGAGTGTACAAAAACAATTTCACAATATTTGCACAGATAGTGTCATACTATTAATAATAATCTTGTAAAAATATCTTGTTTTGTAGTTTCGCCGGCGCACCTGGAGGTCGTGAGCGGCGCATGCGGCGTCCTGCTGAAGTACCTCGTCGGCTCGTTGAACACTTCGGCGTTCTTCGACCCGGACGGTACGCATCCCCACGTCGAGCGTGCGCTGAAAGCAATTCGCTCGCTGTGCAGTGGTATTAATACTTTCACCTCGGCGGAGATTGATACTCTCACCGACATCATGAAGGGCGAAACGCCACCACAAACTAATCCAGCTTCAACAGGTACAAAATAAATCATAAAATTAAATATCTTATAAATAACTTGGAATATTTTTGTAGAAAAAGAGTCCAGTAACAAACAAGATGTCAAAACACGCACTGATTTATCAGCGAACATCTTCGCGCAGCTCACAATGCCGATCCGAGATGGTGACACTCTACAAGATTCTCCAGCGCAAGTATCTGGAGAATCAACAAACAGTGATCCAGCGATGGAAATCAATGTAAGTTTTATATTAAACAAAATGGTGACTTTGTTTCTATTGGATAATATTTGTTTAGCGATTATTCATCAAAGCAAATCGCGAAAGCTTGCAATCAATGCGCGCTGGTGATACCCTCGTGGATCTTTGCCTCAGCCTGCCATCAATCAAGAAAACACGGGCTAAAATCGAAGACGCGCTTGCGAACAAACCCTTCGCGTTGCCCACGAACCACTCGGAGGCAACCACGGTTCGCAACAGTCTCGCATCGACAGTCGCCGAGATAACATTAGTCTCCTCAGCGATTAATCTACCTGTCCTCGAACCGCTCACACCTACAAAACTAGAAAAACTCTGCAATCTCAGCATGTCTGTGCTGTACATCGCAGTGAATCAAGCAGCAGCCAGTTCTATTCTATCCATGGGCTCAGCGGTATCACCAAAATGCACCACGGTGCAATCACAGACCAGCCACAAAGAGGATGACTTGGATACAAACGCAGTTACACTTGTAGAAGAAGCGCTCAATCTCTACAGCTACATTGGTAATGCAATCAAGACTTCCACAAGAGCCGGAGGTCATGTACATCAGAATTATTTACTAGCTGGTGCATGGGTGTTGATTTCTGGTCTTCAAAGTCACGTCACAGCGTGTACGACAACCAGCGAAAAACCACATCTACGAGATGACAAAGGACGCAGTCCTAGTAAATCACGCGAAGCACAGAGCTCAGCTCGTTCGGGTTTGGTAAAATTCCAACATTCATTTGGTGTGTTGTCTGTTGCGTTAGCAACACGCGCTTTATTACTATTGTCAGAATTATTCGACGATTTAAACCTGGAGGTTTGCGGTGGGAATACCACCATTCCCCAGATTGACCCCGCGCCTATTTCAATCGCCGGGCAATACACAGCTTCGCAGCGTGTAGCGAAAATTCTAAACACTGCACCGCTCAATCAGTTGTTCTTTTATCTCGCGCTGGTGAGTTATAGAAAAGCGTGCACTCTGAAGCGTCATACACCCGAAGGCGATACGTTCAGCCTGAGCGATTCCACGACTTATTACTATGAAGATATGATACTCTGTTCGGATGTGAGTTCGACAGATGAAGATGATGATAGTGAACCGTTGTTGGGGCAATGGTTTGAGGAAACACTCGCACCGCCTGAGCCCAGCGAGAATAAAACCTCGCCGACGGATAATCCCGATGTGAAGACGATTCAGGGTGATAGAGGTAATTCGATTGTGCCGGAGAAAGGCGAGGCGCATGGGTTTATCACGCTGGCGACGAGTATATTTGCGTTTATGAATAAGCACTTTTTGCTCTCGAAGAGCGCCTATGTGTCGCGGTATATAAAAAGCGGGATTACAGATCAACAGATTGTGATACTCGCGGTTATTATACGGGATTTGGATAGGGAGACAGCCCGGACTGAAGTTGGTAAGTTTTTTAAACTTCATTATATTGTTTTAGTATGTTTATTTGTATTTTTTTAAATTAAATTTAGCCCTGGGACAACTCTATAGTGACTTTTCGGGTGCCCTGACACGTTATACACACAACCTGGTCACCCACCCTAGCCTCCAACCGCTGCAAGCTAGTCTTCTGAATAATCTGGGTGTCTCACCTTGGAATTCCGATGTGCCGCATGGATGGCCCCTGCAGGTTTACGCCAGAACCTTATCAGTTCTCGCACAGGTTTTATTAATGCGTCCGCAGACTGAGAAAGAAGCGTCGGTGATTAGCATCTGGCACCGGTTGGTCAATACACTCATTGAGAACGTGATCAATGTCCCGGCGGTGGTTGAAGGTGACAATGAAGACCTCAACGTGGAGCACGCACAGGTTCTGGTATATCTTTTTCATTCGTTGAACTTGATGCAGAAGAAATCGGTGGTTCTCTTGCTGGCTGGTGGTTTGTTGAGGTGTTCGGAGGTTGTTCGAGGTACCCTGCGTGATTCACAGTTGTTGCATCTGTCACGACTGCTGCTTTTGTTTGATTACATCATGAAACATCTCTATGATGCACCACAACAATTATTAGAGCAGATTTTGTTCAATTTGTTTTATTCGACGAATTTGAATACGGATAAAGAGAGCAAGGAAAATAATATGTCAAGGATGTATACGCCATGGCAATGGGCGGATACTTGTCCCAAAATCAGCCGGGAAGAGTTTACCATGAAGCCGACGTTTTATGTTTTGTCCAATTTCGAGATAAACAACCAAGATGCGCCGAAATTGGATGGTTTAGCTTGTAATTTCATCCTGGGTACACCTGATAAACTACGGTATCCTTTGTTGCTCGATGCGTTGATTGAAATTCTGACTGTGACGAATATTACTTCTGGTGGGAACGCTTCGAAGATGACAAGGCTTGGTTTATTTGCGACACAGTATTGTTTTTCAATTTGCTGGAAATTGTTGCAATTGCTACCGCCATCTACGCCATATTTGAGAGATTACAACGCGGTGAGGTTCTACCAGCAGGACCTTTATTACTGCACGCGTTAATTTGGGGACCAAGATGTGGGCATAAGAATTTCACCAGGTGGCTCAAAGACTGTCTGGTTAAACAAGGCCTTTATACGCAAAACACCGAAAGGTTAGTGAAATCTGTATCCGATGTGGTGAATACACTGAAGTATGATATTGCTACGGCGAAGAATTGTGTGATTGCGCTTACGCCCGATATTAAAAAGGGTGCTATGACGAAAGAATCCCTTCCACCATTGTGGCATTTGTATTTACTGCATGCTGTGATTGCAAAAGTGCAAGTTTCGTTACTGGACGAAGCGGAAACTAATACGGCGGATGCTAATGGCGCGACTGTGTCAGGCGCGGCGTATGTTCAAGAATTACTACCGCATGTCCTGCGACTTGCGCAAGCTATTTTGCATTGTACAAGATGGTCGCTGTTGCATAGCATGGTGGAGCAGAGTGAACCAGCTGGGAAATACACCGTGCAAGATTTCGAAGGTTTGCAAGAGGTTTTGGCGATTGCTACGAGCAAATCAAAACTTACCACTGGTTTAGTACCGGATCAAGCTACGCTTTTGCCTGCGGCGGTTAATAATGTCATACAACAGTGGCACACTGCTAGTTTGGAGGAGTGTACATGGACACCGCATTTGGGTGATATCATTGTTTCGGAGTCTTTTATCCTGAAGATTATTGACACACATATTCAGACATTATCATCGTCCAGTTATAGTTTTTCGATAAACTTGTCTCTGAAATGTCTTCTACAGAGGCTCATGAAATTCGTTTGCAATCACGCGCCGCAAATAGAAAACACCGATACGAAAAATAAAGTAATTGAGTTATTGGTTTCTACCACACTGGATGTACGCACTGAGTTTCTACAGGAGTCAGTGTCAAAGGTTTTGGAGAAGATGATTGGTGATGCTGAGACTGACGAACATCAAAAGCGCGTGTATCTACAGATTTTGGATAATACCTATAAACTTATAACGAATTACACGAATAATTTGAATGGGAATGTCAACGAAAAGATTCTGCATAATTTCCTCAAGTTCTACGAGAGACTGATTGAGAAATCTGCAGGTCGTCAAGCTTTGGAAGCGTTTTTCACCGGCGAGAAAGATTTAGTCAAGGTGTTGATGTCCGTGAGTAATCCGCAGATGTCGCAGCAGTATAGCACGAAAGTGTTGCATTTCTTCAACAAACTCTTCAACTGCGCCGAGAAGAGTTCCACCGATCCTAGTCTGAATTATTTGTGCAGTAGTATGAGTAAACTGGCGAATGTAGAAGGGGAAAAGTTGCAGACTTGGTTGAGGCATGTGATAATTGGACCAACGGCTGTACCTACTAGTCCTGAATCAACCGACATGGTGTTATCAG